TTTTTCCTTCTTATTCAGTCCAGGACCCCAGCCTGTGGGATGGCTGGAGCTTCTCACATTCAAAGAGGGTCTTCCCTCCTCAACTAAGTGAGTTTAGATAATCCCTCACAGACATGCCCGGTCTCGTCTCCTAAATTCTTCTCAATCCTGTCAAGTTGATGGTCCATACTAACCATCATAGGTATTCTGCAGGTCCGATGGATGGATGACCTCCACACACAGTAGATGTTTGTCTGAGAGCTCTCAGAGCTGAGAGGATGAATATCCACCTCCTACAGAATTCATTCCAGGACTCTGGGAGGTTCCTTGGCTCTCTGGAGGCTCCTCTGCCTTGCCAAAGACTGAGGGAAGCCACCTGTAGAGGTCAGTTTTTATTGATACCTTACAAAAACCAGAATAAGGGAATGTCAACTGGAAAATCGCCTCCATCCGAGAGTCCTACAGGCACATCTGTGGGGCATTTCCGTGACTGCTGATGGCAGTGCCACCTCAAGGTGGGCCTCAGTTGTGTGAGAAAGCTATTTGAACATGAGCTAGGAAGCGACCTTCCTCCCTGATCTCTTCTTCAGTTCCTACCTTCGCTTCCCTCAGCAATGGACTAGAAGGTGAAAGGAACCCATTTCTTTTGGTCATTGTGCTTACCACAGCAGCAGAACGCCAACTAGACCACCCATCCTCTTCCTTCCTTGACCCAACACGTTCCAGAAGCTGTCAGCAGCACTCAGCTGCATTTCCTGTGTGTTTGCCATGACAACATTCCTAAGCTCTGGGGTCCTTAAATCCAGATCTGCGGTGTGGGGCCTATCATGGTGCAGATTCACCCTGGGTCCACCAAAACATGGAGTTAAGGGCAACAAGCCAGCGCCATTCATTCACCAGCAGACAAAATGGAATCTGAGCTGAGGATAGCTCTTGAACACAAATGGCTATGATTTTGTGTGCACATGTGTGTGAATGTGTGTACACATGTGTTCATATGTATACATGTGTTCCTGTGTGTTCAGGTACATTGCAAGTGCACATGCACATAGGTGTGTGTAGGGCAGTAGCAGACTCAGATGTCAGTGCAAGTGCACATGCACATAGGTGTGTGTAGGGCAGTAGCAGACTCAGATGTCAGATGTCAGTTTCCTTCTTGGATTTTAGGCAGTCTTTCACTTAATACCTTGAACTCAGAAATTAGGCTGGCTGGTGAACCCCAGGGGGTCCTCCCATATCTGCCTCCCCAGCACTGGGGTTTCAAGCATGTGACTGATTTTTGTGATTATTGTTTTGTTTGGGGGTTTTATGATTGTCAGAGGCAGAGTGTCCCAGAAGTTCCTGGGTTCTTCATCAATAGCCTGAGGAGATCTGTCTCTGAGGCCATGTAGCATCATGGCAAGGGTGATGTAGTGACTCTGCCAGTCAATCTATACAGATGTTGACAGCTGCTGCACAGGCATGCAGAGCCAACCTGAGACATGACCATGACCTTCCTATTTTACATGAGATGCTGCTCGTGGGCATCTACTCAGCCAATGCTGGAGAAAACCGCCACTCAAAATGCTTTAAGAAAACAATTTCATGCATTTAAAAAATGTGCCAGGGGCTGTGGAGATGACTCAGCTGGTAAATCACCTGCCATAAAAGAAGAGGGCCTGAACTCTGTCCCCAGCACCCACATAAGAGTCAGGTGTTCTAAGGTATATCTGTAACTACAGGGGCACAGCTGGAAGGATCCCTGGATCCCACTGCTGAGCCAGCCTAGCCAGTCAGTGAGCTCCAGGTTCGGTGAGAGACTGTCCTAGTCCAGGTTTCTATTGCTGTGAGGAGACATCATGACCACAGCAACTCTTATAAAGGAAGACATTTAATTGGAGCTGAGTCACAGTTTCAGAGGTTTAGTCCATTATCATCATGGAGGGAAGCATGGCAGTGTACAGGCAGACATGGTGCTGGAAAGGTAGCTGAGAGTTCTACATCCGGATGGGCAGGCAGCAGGAAGAGACCATGAACAACTGGCCCGACTTCAGCTTCTGAAAATTCAAAGCCCGCCCCCAGTGACACACTTCCTCCAACAAAGCCACACCTACTCCAATAAGGCCACACTTCCTATTAATGCCACTCCCTGTGAGCCTGTGGAGGCCATTTTCTTTCAAACCACCAATGAGACCCAGTCTCAAAAAAATAAGGTAGTGAGAAGCTGGCAAAGAGGCCTGACCCCTGGCTTTTACACACATATGTGCAAGCATACTAACATGTACACACACACACACACACACACACACACGCTGATGTTTACTTGTGTGCATCTTATGCCAAGTGTGTCAAGACTGGAGAACAATCAGGCAGAGGCTAACGTGTCCTTCCTTCAGCTCCCCAGCTGCACACACTTTACTTGGATGAGGCTTGCTTTCTGGATGAAGAACAACAAACCTTCCAAATGGCTAAATTCTCCAGGCAGTCTGGAAGCCCTGAAGCTCTCGAAAGCAAAAAAAAAAAAAAAAAAAATGTTGAATCCTAGACTGTACCGTGTTTTCATCTGTTTCCTCCCCGCACATGCCAACAATATCCTGTTACCTGCAATATCTTTGTGGCATTAACAGCAGGCTGCAGTAGAGCCGACACAGGCGTGTCTCATCTCGGAGCGTCATCCAGTGTCTTTGCACTCAGCCCAAAGGCACTGGAGACCCTGAGTGCTGGGGATCACACAGAGTGTATGGCTCACCCGGCCACCTGCCACAGATGGACTGTCATGGCCAGGGCCGTCCTGGCTTCGCTTCCTGCCAAGTCTATGGAAAGCCAACCTTGGGGGTGCCGAGGAGGGATCTGTGCACCAACCTACCAGAGTAACGACCATGCTCAATCCTGCCTTTCATGATTTTAATTGTACAACAGTAATTTTGTGATCGAGTTGCCGACGGCGAACATGCAGAAGACATTAACTTTATTTATGTTTTGGATTATTAATGCGGCTGTTAAAATTCCTCCAGTTAGTTTTGATTGAATTGTTTTTTTGTGTGATTCTGTTGTTTAATGGAGCGGTAAATAAGAATTTCTGATAATGAGACCCAGCATCTGTCACAACAACCTGGTGTGGGCTATTAACATTTCCATTAGCGGCAGGGTGGGCAGCGATAATACAGAAGCACACAGTTAGAACAAAATAAATAGTCATGTCAGGCTGAGCGGGTGTTAATTACTATTTTATTCTGCATGGGTGGGGGAGAGAGCAGGAAGCAGGGGAAGGAGCTGCGAGCAAAGGGTGACCTACTGCTCACCAGGTCACCCTATCACTACAAATGAGCCCCATGCAAGAAAAATTTCCTCAGGCTGTGATGGCTTTGTGGCTTCCATCGATGGCCTCTAGACAGACTCAAATCAAAAGGCAGCCAGCAGGGTCTGTGGAGATGGCTCAGTCGCTAAGGTACTCACTATGCATACACAGATTGAGGACCTGAGTTTGGTACCTAAAAGCCTCCGTGTTCCCAGAGGTGGGGGAGGAGACAGGTGGATTCCCTAGAGCTGGCTAGCTTAGTGAATCACTTAGCTCCAGGCTCATTGAGAGACCCTGCCTCAAAAAATAAGGTGGAGAGTAAGAGCACGGAAAACACCTGACCTCCGTGTGTGCACTCATACACACACACACACACACACACACACACACACACACACACTAAGATGGAGAGTGATTAGTGAAGATATCAACATTGACCACTGGGCTACACATACACCTGCACACATACAAACACATATACATGCACATGCCTGCACACACATGTGCATACACATGAACATAGACATATCACATACATGCATGCATGCATGCATGCGCACACACACACACACACACACACACACACACACACAAACATACACAGAAAGTGAAAAAGGGCAGTTGGCAGTCTCGGGCACACAAGCTGAAGCTGAATGAGGTGAGGTGGGGCTGGGTGGGACTAGCCTCTGCTTCCCAGGAGCTAGTTCCTTAAGATAACTCCATGCAACTCTAGAGTCCAACCAGAGACCAGATTTCCTATGAGGAGCACTCAGTGGGAGACAGGACTATATCCTGAGAGGCAGTGGACAGCCTACCATGAGAAAGTTCCCCATATGGAATTCAGAACCATGATGGAGAGAGGATGAATGGTCCAGACTGTGGCTCCTGCTCTCTGATCTGCTCATCACCCCCTAATGGCTGTGAGGGTCAGAGTGGGCAGCCCACTGCCCTTCTGGTCACCACATCTTTGGCTTGTATATTGTACCTGTGAGAGGACAGAGCACCCCAGGAAGTGCTCTGGTGGGAGGGAGGAAGAGGAAGAGCCTCGTATTCTCAGAACTTGTGGTCAGAGTTTGTCTCGGCACTACATACAGCCATGTTCCCAGACACCAGACCCCCGTGCGCATGGACGGGCAGCTGTGTCTCTCGATAGGTTTCTGGGAGCAGGCACCCTAATAGAGGTACCTGAACTCGCCGTGGCACGGGAGCTGCCATTGTGTTCTGTGTCTTCACTGGAAGCATAGCGTTCCTGCCCCAGTCAGCGATGTCTTGCTACCTGTGGCTGCCACACCCACAGAGCCTCATAGATCCCTGCCGTGCCCCAGGTGCTTCTGGGAGCTCCAGTTGGCTTCCATGTCTCACTGTTTTCTCTCCCAGTGGGTGATCTGCCAGCCCATGCCACATGGGTGTCTAGATAGTGTTTGTCTCCCAACACTCGCGAACTGTATCTCAGCAGAGACCATGTTCTTTGTGACTCTGTGTAGTGTGTTTTATGCATTTATAAGAAGGTTCCTCTGGGAGGGCTTCCCTGGCATCAAGGACTAAGAATTGCATGGGACACAGAGCCTGAAACCCGGAATGGGATTACACCTGCGGCCTCCCAAACTTGGGTGGTGTCCAGGGCACAGTTTCCCATGCTGTCTATCACAGAATTATGGCCTGTGCGAGCCTGGAGGCATGGTTTGGTGGGTCTCCGCCAGCATATGGGAGGCCACCCCAGTTATTCTCCTGTTTCTTTCCTCAGCCCCAGCGATGGCCCCACAGAACGTCCAGGTGACACCCCTCACGGCCAGCCAGCTAGAGGTCACATGGGACCCACCACCCCCAGAGAGCCAGAATGGGAACATCCAGGGCTACAAGGCAAGATCTCATGCATGACTGGGCTCTTTCTTCCAGCTCAGTGTGTGCCCAGGGCCCCGAAGGCTTTGGCTGCACACTGGCTACACTGTAGGACTACCATGTCCCCGGCAGCAGATGCACAGCTTCCAAGTAGGCCTGTGTGCCTGGAGCAGGCTTGGTGGGAGCACCGCCTGGGATAAGAGCCACGTGGAAGCGGCTTCCCATGTGGCAGCTGTGTGCCCACCACAAAGCACACTTGGCTCCTCCACAGGTGCCCAGGACCACCAAGAAACCTGACCTCTTCCCATGCCCACACCACAGCCTCCCAGGGCATTTGCTGATCGTAACCAAAGTGGGGTGTCCTCACAAAAGTGGGCTCCAAGTCCCAACACTGTCCACTGCACATTGAGGGAATCTGTCATTTCCATGTGAAGTAGAGCCAGAGAACCTGTGTGTTTCTGTCTGTCTGTCCTGTCTATGTCTGTGTGTCTATGTGTGTGCATGTTCATGTACATGTATCTGTCTGTGTATGTGTATCTGTCTGTGTTTATGTGTCTGTCTGTGTGTGTGTCTCTCTCTGTGCATGTATATCTGCATGTGTGTGTCTGTCTGTGTGTATCTGTTTGTATCTGTGTGTCTGTGTCTGTGTATGTTCGTGTGTGTATGTGTTTCTGTGTCAGTGTGTATGTGTGTCTGTGTGTTGTATGTGTGCATGCATGTATGTAAACATGTTTGTGTGTGTGTGTGTGTGTGTGTGTGTGTGTGTGTGTGTGTGTGTGTGTGTGTCCAGAGGGTCACTTTGACTATGCTGTTCTTGAGACCTCAAGCACTGCCAACATTTTTTTTTTTTTTTGGTGGGAGGAAGACAAGGTTTCTCCTTGGCCGGGAACTCACCTCTTAGATTAGGCAGGCTGGCTGAGAAGCCTCAGGGATCCCCCTGCTTCTGTCTCCCCAGCAGCAGAGTTACAGGCAGGTGCTACTGTGCCTGGCTCTTTTATTTTTTTTTAACATGGGTTCCGGGATAGCACTCAGGTCCTCAGACCTGCACAGCTGGGTCATGTCCTGAGCCCCAGCAGTCCCCACCCGGTGTGACGTCTGCAGACCTCACTTTGAGACAGGCTCACTACAAGAGCCAGTGAGGCTCCTGAGCCCAATCTCTGACGGTGAAAGCAAAGGAAGACTGCTCACCTCGCCAACCAGCACTGGGGGGATAACTCCTGTGGGCAGCTTCTCCCCTGCCCTCCTCCCTGCACTCTCCCCTGCTACGGGCACCCAGGAGCTCTAAACATCACCAACCCGCCCCCCCAGAGGAGACATCCCATCTGGCATCTCCATTCTTCCAGAAGTAATTTTCTTGTCTGGCCTCCATGAGCCCTACTTGCTCAGTTATCAGAATCTCAGAGCCATCCTGCCCTGATGAATATTGGCCCAATTAAATGTCCATTTTAAAATGATTTTGGTAGGTGTGTTATAAAAATGAATACCTCCCTGCCGGCCAGGCTCTTACGAAGATGAATGAGGTCATAGAAAGTCCCCTGAGCTCCGAGGCAAGGCACTATTTATGCACATCCAAAAATATGTTTTCTCATTTCCCTAATGATAAAGACATTGAACTTGGATATTGATCACAAGTTAGCATGGCCTGTCTGAGCAGAGGCTTTCCTGCAGTCGGCTCTGCCGTCAAGCATGCAGCTGGGGGGTGTGGGTGGAAACCAGCAGCTCACGTGTTGGACGGGCTCCACCACAGGTATGACCTGTGAGGCTGGGTGTCCTGGCTGCCTCCTGCAGTGTCTGCCCTGCCCTCACAGAGGGCACACTGCTCTTGTGGCCTGGCACAGGCCCATGTACACAGAGCCAAGGGGCATCTTCCAGCCAGTGTTGTCTTTGGGAGCCCAGCTGGCACAGGCTGGGGGCAGTGGTTGCCAGACAGCTGTTTAGGGAAATGGATCTGCTAATCAGTCAAACCTTGGTGCTTGGACCTCAGATCTACCCATAAATGTAGCAAAGCTAGATGAGAAGAAATGATACCTAAGGAAGGCAAGGTGCTCCTCCCCAGTCCCAGTTTAGGAGTATGCATGGACATGCTCAGGCACATGTGTGTATGCACATGTGTTTGGGGTGAGGGCACAACCAAGCTATTGTTTCTTAGGTTCCCTCCTCTACCTTTTTAAAAATTTATTCTTAAATTGTGTCTGGGTATGTACTCATTAGTGCAGGTGCCCGTGAAGGCCAGAAGAGGGCATCATCCAGGAGCAGTTGTGAGCTGCCAACTATGGGTGCTGGGACCTGACCTCAGATCTTCTGGAAAGGCAGAACGTACCCTTAATTGTTAAGCCATCTCTCCACTATCTACTGTCTTGATGGCCTGTAATCTAGGCTGAGCCCCAGGGATCTGCCTGTCTCCACCTCCCCAGAGCTGGGATTAGAAGCATGCATCCCCATGCACGGCTTTTTTTTTTTTTTAACATGGGTGCTGGGGATCGAACTCATGTCCTCATGCTTGTACAGCAAACACTGATTGATCCATTATCCCCCGTCTCCTTCCTGTAATTTTTGGTGTTTTTCATTCCCAAAGTGTTTTCGCTACATTGACGGAAGACTTAGGTGTTAGCTTTGAACAAAATGTGGGGATGTGGGGTGAGACTTTGGGGCTAGGCCTATCTGTGCATCAGAGTAGGGGGCAGATACTGGTGCCCCCCAGGAAGACATCACAGTTTATATGCTTGACATAACAAGTGTTCAAACGCATGAGCCTGTTCGGGCAGTCCCTATCCTAACCACAACAGAGGCCCATTACACAATATTGGCCCGTCTTCAGATCCCACCCTGAGCAGTTTAAGGAGATGATGCTCCAAGTCTAGATAACAGGGCAGAATCCCTGACCATTGCCCAACACTCCAGCACCCTAGGCCTCAATCACCATACTAGCCTGATCCCCAGAATCACTGTTTTCATACTAAGGCCTGGTATAATCCAACAGTGCCCTGTGCCCTGCCCAACAGATTTACTACTGGGAGGCAGACAGCCGCAACGAGACTGAGAAAATGAAGGTCCTCTTCCTCCCTGAGCCCGTGGTGAAAATCAAGAATCTCACCAGCCACACCAAGTACCTGGTCAGCATCTCCGCCTTCAATGCTGCGGGTGATGGGCCCAAGAGTGACCCACGTCAGGGACGCACACATCAAGCCGGTAGGTTGCCCTGTCTGCCCTGTCATAGCATCAAGGATCCAGCTCAAGAGCCAGGGGTATAGTCCATTTGGTGGAGTGCTCATATGAAGCTGTGAGTTCCATCCCAGCACCTCAGAATCTAAATTGGCATTGTGGTGCATGTTTGGAATCCAGGCGCCTGGGAGATGGAGGCAGTTCAGTCCTCCTTAGTGACATATCGAGTTCTAAGTCATCCTGAGATACATGAGACATTGTCCCAAAAATAGATAGATAGATGATAGATAGATAGATAGATAGATAGCTGATAGATAGATAGATAGATAGATAGATAGATAGATAGATAGACAGATAGACAGACAGATAGATAGATAGATAGATAGATAGATAGATAGATAGATAGATGAAAAAAGAAAGAAGGAAGGAAAGAGTGCACACTTGGAATTTGGAGAGGAAGTACAGGGCATGGTCCCCGTGCCTCTGCTAAGGTAGTTTGGCTAGGTTGGAGCTATGTATTTTCTTGTAAGCCTTCAAAGTCACCGGAAGGAGGAAGGGCCTTGTCTATGGCTTGGCTCCCTTCCTGACCCACAGAACTCCTTCTAGCACTTTTTCTCAGAGCTGCCCCATGTGCATCTTGGTCTCTAGGAACTGAGTTCCTTGTGCGTGGAGGCCAGGGCCCAAATCTAGGTTCAGGCTACCCCCTACCACCCACAGTCAAGATCCCTAGACCATGCCTGGAACAGCTCAGCAGCTGCCACTCAAGCACCTGCCTCCCCTTACAGGTTTTATTTACTTTTCCTGCTGTGATAAAATACCCCAACCAAAGCAGCAGGCTGAGGGAGGGTTTGTTCCAAGGGGGACATATGGTGACAGGAGAATGAAATTGAGGCCCTGGTCACTTTGCACGGGCAATCAAGAAGCAGAAAGTGAACAGGAAGTAGGACCAGGCTACAAAGCCTCAAGGCCCACCCCCAGTGACCTGCTTCCTCCACTGAAGCTCTGCCTCTTTAAGGTCTACAACCTCCCCAAACAGTGCCATCTGCTGGGATAAGAGTCCAAACACGTGAGCCTGGGAGAGGGGGACATTTCCCATCTAAACCACAACATGGGCTGTGCTGACAGGGGTGCCCAGCTAAGGCGGTCCACACACAGGGCACAGCCTCTATCTGCAGCCGGCCACCCCTCCCCCTACTCATCTCAATTCCTAGTAACATGAAGAGCAATGGTACTGCCAGAAAATGGCAGTCTGGCCTAAGGCCCTGGACTGCCAGAGGCCCTGTGTTAAGAGCCAGGAGGTCAGCGGAATGGTAGTGGTGCACACCATTAGTCCCAGCACTCAGGAGGCAGAGCCAGGTGGATCTCTGTGAGTTCAATGCCAACCTGGCCTACAGAGCAACTTCCAAGACAGCCAGGGTGAGAAATCCTATCTCAAAAAGAAAGAAAAAAAATCCAGAAAGTCTAAGGCAGGATAGTGAGGCCTTGGAGCCTGTTGAGTAAACTTGCAGGACCTAGTACTCTACAACATCCCATGGTCTCAGGCGACAGACACCCACCTACACAGCTGACCCTTCCTTGGTCAGGGCTCTTGGTGTTACCCACCTCCTGTTGGTGACTATGAGCAGGGAGCCATGACTGTTTCCCTGCTGCTGTGTCCAGCACCGAAGGATCAGTTCTTCTGTTTTGCAGTTAGGGGATTGGGGCTGTAGCACATGAGTAGATTTGTAGGTCAAAGAGCAGTGGCTGGGCCGTTTTTAGGCACCAGTGCCTAGTAGATCATGGGATTTGAGGTGTAGCAAGGGGAGGTTGGACATGGCTGTAGTTAGGCACCCAGAGGAGACCAGAAGCCTACTGGGATGTCAGGTGAGGATGGCCCCTACCCGTATTCTCCTGCACGGCCCAGGTAAGTGAACAGGCCCCACATGACTACACCCCAGGGCAGCCATACCTGCTAGCAGCCTTGATGGATTGGTTGGTCAGGCGTCCTCCTGTCTGAGCCAAACAGCTCTCTGTGAACACAGGGTGTCAATGGAATTTCAAGAGGAAGGATTGGGGTGGCAGCCACCAGCACCACCCACCACTACCCACCAACGTCATAACCCACCGCTACCACCCACCCACAACTACCACCACCTACAACTATGACTGCCACCACATACTACCACACACCAGCATCACCCACCACTACCCACCAACATCATGACCCACCACCACGTACAACCATGACTGCCACCACACACTACCACCCACCACCACTACCCAAAAGGTGAAATGGGGGAGAGGAGAAGAAAGGAGGGGAAAGGTGAAATACAGAAAGGAGAAAAATGAGGGAAGAGAAAAGTGAAGTGGGAGAAGGGAAGGAAGGGACAAGAAAGGTGAGTTGGGGGAGGGGAGGCTTGGGGAGAAAAGAGGAGAAGAGCCACAAAGGGGAGCACAGAGTTGTGGAGAGGAAGGAGAGGGTGTGGGGAAAGAAAAGGAGGGGAGAAAGCGCTTCCTCTTTCCCGAAGGGCAGGAGGAGCTCTAGAGCAGCCTCTGGAGCTGCCCACATTTTATCTTCTGCTCCCTCTGTCAGTCATTCTGGCCTTTGTCCTTTTACCTTGCCGCTCCTTTGTGGATCAGCTGCATTGCCCTCCATGATCTTCTGGGAGGGCCCATGCTTCTTGTTGATGCCAACAAGCTGGAAGCTGTTCAGTGTGCCTCCTGTTCCTCTTGCACCATTTACACTCCACAACATTAGATAACACCTAGAAGCACTGCCTGTCCCATAGGGAGACATGGCCATGGCCATGTGTGGGTGATCCATAAAGCCACTAGTCTTCACTCTGCACCCCTGTGCTCTATTTTCCCAGCTCCCGGGCCCCCCAGCTTCTTGGCCTTCTCAGAAATAACCTCCACCACACTCAACGTGTCCTGGGGGGAGCCATCGGCAGCCAACGGCATCCTACAGGGCTATCGAGTGGTGTATGAGCCCTTAGCACCCGTACAAGGTAAGGCCTGGGGGGCCGTAGTGGGCTCTACTCCGGGGTACACAGAGAGGGGCTGGGGAGGTGGCGTGGCTGCTAGTACTTGTACTTTGAGCATGAGGGCCTGAATGGACCCTCAGAAGCCACGTGAAAACTCTAGGTGTGTCGCTATGCTCAACCCAGGTGCTAACTTTGAGACCTTGAGGCTGGGGGACATACCTTTAATCACATCTTCTGTTGGAAGCATGTCACTGGGGTGGGGAGGTGTTGGGCTTTGAGGTCTTTTTCTCAAGCTTCACTCGGTGTGAGTCAGTTGCCTGCAAGATGTAGTATACTCAGCTATTACTCCAGTACTATGCCTGCCTGCATGTCGCCATGCTCTTATAAAAGAAACATTTCATTGTGGTGGCTTGCTTCCAGTTCAAAGATTCAGTCCATCATGGCAGGGAGCATGGTGGCATGTAGGCAGAAGTGATGTTGGAGCTGAGACTGCTACATCCTGCAGGCAACAGGAAGTCAACTGATACACTGGGCTGTATCCTGAGTATATGAAACCTCAAAGTCCTCCCCCACAGTGACACACACTTCCTCCAGAAGGTGTGGCCCAGATTAAAGGTGTGCCCTCCAGCCTCAATGCCTGGATTAAAGGTGACTGTCATCCAGCCTCCTCTAACAAGGCCACACCTAATATCGCCACTCCCTATGAGCTTGTGGGGGAGGGGGGGCAAATACATTCAAACTACCACACCAAGAGCTTCTGTGGTCATGGTGTCTCTTCACAGCAATAAAAACCTAACTAAGACAACAGGTTAAAAAGCAGGCCATTGCTCTCCCAAGAATGTTTTGGCAGATAAATGATAGATGGATCATGGAATGGAATACAGATGGCTTTGGGAAAGCAGATCCAGGGACCCTGCAGTAACTGGGAGAAGACAGCAGCAGAGATTCTGCCTAGCATTCTGCCTGGAGGGCTTGGAGGAGGCAATATGCTGGGGCAGGAAGTGGCAGATTAAGGATGTGGCTTCAAAGGACCAGTAGAGCTCCTGGTCGCACACCAGGGACCTGATTGTCAGCCCTGCCTCTGGGTGTTCGGTCTATGGCTGTGTCTTTTTTTTTTTTTTTTTAATTTTTTTACACACCAACCACAAATACCCCTCTCATCCCTCCTCCCGCTCCTGCTGCCTTCCCCTGCCACTGACCCACCTCCTTCCCCTCCTCCAAAAGAGTAAGTCCTCTCATGGGGAGTCAGCAAAGCCTGGTACATTCAGTTGAGGCAGGACCAAGCCCCTCCCCGCTGCATCAAGGCGTCCATCCATAGGTAATGGGCTCCAGAAAGCCAGCTCATGCACCAGCAATAGATGATCCCACTGCCAGGGGCCCCTCAAACAGACCAAGCTACACAACTTGTTGTTCCTGTGTCCACTGAGGGCTTTGTCGTCTTTTTTTCTCACCCCACTGCATGCCCCGAGACAGGTCCAGCTACCTCTGCATGATGACCCACGTCTGGATATCCCCTCTCCTAGTCATATGCACAGATAGATGGGAAAACCTAGAGATTCTTTAACGTCTAGGAGGAAACACTACATCAGCAGCTGGCCAGATAATAATAATGGCTCTCCATTTAAAGCTGTGGTCAGTTTCCTTTTGAAATAAGCGGTCACGTGGAGCAGGAAGTTGATTTGAAAGAGAACATTCAAACACTTGATTTTATTGCATCAAATCTCCAATGCCTTTGACAAGAAGATTTGTCGTTATTTTATGACACTCTAAGAAAGACAGAATGTTCACTATAAACTATGGCCTCAGGCTTTCACACCATCAATTCCGAGCCACATCCCAAATCAGAGCCAGGGAAGTGAGAAAGAAAAGCCAAGGGTGTCTGGGCTTCCTGCACAGCTGTGGGGGTGATCTGTCGGTGGAGTTCTAAGAATCCAAGATGGCACTGGGGGGCAGGAGGTCAGTGACTGCTGAGGTCCAGCTGGGTGGCATTCTTGCCACAGTGGGCAGCCTGTCCAGGAGCAGGGGGCTTGCTTCAATATCTCAGGACAGAGTTCCAAAAGACATGCCTGCTGTTCTTGCATGGTCAGCAGAGAGGTGAGTGAAGACTTTCCAACGGCCTTCCTATCTGTTCAGTAGGGCTCCTTCCCCACCCCAGCCCCCCCCTCTCTGTCTCTCTGTCTCTCTGTCTCTCTCTCTGTCTCTCTCTCTCTCTCTCTCTCTCTCTCTCTCTCTCTCTCTCTCTCTCTCTCTCTCACACACACACACACACACACACACACACACACACACACACACACACACACACACGTCACGAGCATCTTTTCAAGGGCGGCAAACAACTGGAGCCATTCAAATGAGAATTGACTGTAGAATCGTGGCTCTAATTGACCCATGTGCCCTTCGTAATCAGAGCTAGCTGGAGTGTCTCCTTCATCCTCAAACAAGCACCTGACTCTGCCATGTCCCGTGCCCTGTGCCCTGTGTTAATGGCTGCCTGCATCTCCAACAATCCTGTGGCACACACTCTGGGAGCCCAGGACTGCTGCTCTTAGCGGACTCTAGTACCTGCCCTCCAAAGACTGTCATTCCTCAGTGGGATCCATACCACACACAGGAAACCTGCTGTCTTTTGTGGTTCCCTCTCTCTGTACTTCCCCCAGTGAGTTCTGGCTTTCTGCAAAGATCTCATGGCCTCTCCTCCCAGCCAGCTAGCCCGCTGTGTCTGGATTCCCTGTGTTGCCAGGGCTGGGGTACTTGTTCATCTTTTATGATAAAGTATTTTGTCATATTCGATCCCTTAAGACATGATCCCATCTGGCCTCCTCTCAGTGATGGGCAGGGTTTACTGAGCACTTACTGCGATGGTTCTCAAGTTGTGGGGTGAGACCCCTATGGGGGTCGAACAACCCCTTCACAGGAGTAGTCTAAGACTGGAAAACACAGATATTTATGTCACGATTTCTAACAGTAGCAAAACTACAGTTATGACGTAGCATTGAAAATAATTTTATGGTTTATCACCACAACATCAGGACCTGTATTAAAGGGTCACAGCATTAGGAAGGTTGAGAACCACCGACTTATGGTGGACCTGCACAGTGCTACTTGTTAGGTTTCAAACCCGAGACAAACAGCTGAGGTGACTACTATTTAACATATCAAAGCGGATGCTGACTGCCAGGTTCCCCCTGCATCCCTCAGTCCCTACCTGTTACAGGGTCCTCCTGGCTGGCATGCCCCACCCCCTATCCTAAACATCTCCAGTCCAGGTATTGAGCTGGCCTCCCCTTCCATATATAATCCAGCCACTTTGGTTACTTGGTTGACCCTTTACCCCCTCTCCCCTCTTCTCACATGGCTCAGGGTCATGTCCACTCTGGACTCTCCCAGATGCCCCTGCCTCCGGCTATGCTCTCTTTTATCTACAATAAACTCTCCTCCACCGTTCCTAGGATCAGTCATGTCCTTCCTCTTTATTTCTTTCTTTCATTCGCTACTCACCCGCCATCCATCATCCCCACATCTGTGTCCCCATGCTGGACTGTAGTCTCAGTATACATTTTGAAAAGAAACTGAATTTAGGAGGCTGGGGAGGTGGCTCAGTCAGTAAAGTACTTGCCTTGCAAGCATGAGGATCTGAGTTCGATCCCTAGCACCTACATAAAGAGAAGAAGGGTATGGTGGCACGTATTTATTATCCCAGCATGGGGAGGAAGAGACAGGGGGACCCCTGGGACTCACTTGCCAACCAGCCTGGCCTGCTGAGAGCCTCAGTACCTGTAGGAGGTACTGTACCCAAAGTCATGATGGGCAGCACCAGAGGAAGGGTACTAAACATTGACTTGCAACTCCCACACACACATGAATACACGTGCACACACATGATCATCTCCCCTTACCACACATGTACCTGCACACACAAAGGAGCTGAGTTTAGAGCCCGTCTTTTTTAAATTACATTTAAAATTTTTATTGTGGGTATGTATGTGCTCACACACACGTGTGTACACTCATGAGGTTCGGCATACATGTGAAAATCAGAAAACAACTTGCAATCATCCATTCTCTTCTTCCACCATGTGAGTCCCAGGGATCAAACTCAGGTCCCCAGGCTTGGCAGCAAGTGTCTTCATATATGGGGCACCTTGGGCCCCAGGAGCTCTCCATTCATTGGCTCCACCCCTGGACTGCTAGACTGATAAGGAGGGGTGTGACTTGAACCCAGGCAGTTCAGTGCAAGTGTGGAGCTCTGAAGCCTATGATGGGAGGGGACTGGGGAGCTTGTGTTCCCGAAGCCCATGTGAAGGTGAGCACTGGAGATGGCGTGCCAGGGGATCCATTAGTTCATATTGCAGACAGAGCACCGGCTGTGCCGCCGGGTGTGCCTGTCACTGCCCGAGTGACAGCCCGTGGGACCACTTCAGTCGCACCCATTTTCACCTCTTTTCGTAAGTGACAAGACGTTCTGTTGCTGGCATCGCCTCTCTGTGTGTTGCGAGGTCTGGCTCCCTCCCCACAAACGTCCCTGGCAGCGGCGGCGGCGGCGGCGGCGGCGGCGGCGGAGTCTGCGCTGTGCTGAGAACTGAGACTGGAGGTCAGGCTTGTGACTTTGTGGCCCCTTATTGGCTCTGTAAGTCAAAAACAGCCAGGCTTCAACCCAATCCAAGAGCAAGTTATCCAGACGCCCAGATCCTGGATTTTGCTTTAGTTCTGAGACAGGCTTTACTGTGCAGCCCAGGCTAGACTCAAACTTACCCTAGGCTGGCCTCAGACTCACTCGGTAGCCCTGTATTGGACCCGTCAGTGACCTGGCACATCCCCACCTTCTCCTGCATGTCTGCCATGGTTGATTCCAGGCTTAGCCTCCCAGCTGGTGGCCAGAAGCACACAGCCCAGCCAGTGGCACTGCAGAGTGGCCTGTAAGTAGCAGCAGCTGAGCCACAGGACCCATGAATGGCCCTGCAAGAGTGAGATGACCGTGGGCAAGCTCTCACCATTCACGCCACCTGAACCAGTGCCCCTAGGCAGCTTACTCTGGTTGTGGCTGCATGACTCACATGGCCCGCAGAAGCTCTGCCATCATGAGGCAAGCAGAGATCAACAGATGTCTGAACACACTGGAACCCTGCCCCCCCACACACACACACATACACACACGCCCCCACACACATGCACACACACGTGCACATACCTGAACAGGCCTGCAGGGTGACCCAGCACCTCCCTTGCCTTAATTAACAGGCAGTGAGGGCGACAGGACCTGGCCTCAGCCATCCCTGCTGTGTGGTACAGACACAGACCTGAGCTTGCATCAACCAAGCCAGCACAGCAGAGGCTGGCTAGAAGGAACAAGCCCCAGGCCAGATGGTAATTGTTTGGTTTTGGGAAACAGTCTTACTGTAGAGTCCAGGTTGGCCTAGAATTCAGGGTGTGGCCAAGACTAGCCTGGATGTTTCAGTGATTCCCCCTGCTTCAGGTACCAACAGGGTCTTTTTTGAGCCACTGGGCTATGGAATAGATTATGGAGAGGTGCAGGAGGGGAAGGTCCTGGGGGCATCACAGAAACTCAGGTGCTCCAGGGACTCAGTGTCTTTCCCAACAGCAATAACCTAGTCAGGACCCTTGCTGTTCACTGAGCTGCCAGTTTATCTCGCTGACTCCCGTGGAGACTATCAACCTCAGAAGAGGCTGGAAAGCTGAGCCTGCCGAAGCAAGCCTGTACGTCCAGCCACTCAGAGGCTGGGGCAAGAGTGCAAGTGCAAGGCCTGACGGGATGACTACAAAGAGTGGAAGGCCGCCCTGGACAACCTTGTGAGACACTGTCTCAAAACAAAACGCAAACAGAGTGTTAGGGGGTGACTCAGTGGTAGATCACCTGCCTAGAATCCCCCAGTGAGGGGCTGGGGTGTGGCTCAGTGGTAGAGCACCTGCCTAGAATCCCCCAGTGAGGGTCTGGGGTGTGGCTCAGTGGTAGGGCACCTGCCTAGAATCCCCCAGTGAGGGGCTGGGGTGTGGCTCAGTGGTAGAGCACCTGCCTAGAATCCCCCAGTGAGGGGCTGGGGTGTGGCTCAGTGGTAGAGCACCTGCCTAGAATCCCCCAGTGAGGGGGATGAATAGACCAATGGTCTTACCTAGCGTTGCCTGGGACTAAGGCTTTCCCAATTCTTTACCTGCTGACCTAGGACTGCAAACGTCCAAGAGAACCACTCTTGGCTGAGTGGCAGACAGGAAGTGATTGTCTTTGCTCTTCTCTGCCCTCTGCTTTCATGTATCTCTGAGAAGTTTGCCTGCTGCTCTCAGGAGTTGGGGGAGCAAACGTTCAGCTGGATACAGGATAAAACCACCAGGACCACTACCCCATGGGGAGCACCACCCCACTGGGACTATCACCCCACTGGAGCATCACTTCATTAGGATCATCACCCCACTGAGAGCAGCGTTACCTCACTGGGGATAACAGGCACGCTAGCATACCACTCGCCACATGACTGGGAAATTACTCCACTGGGAAGAGCACCTCACTGGAGCACTATGCCAGTAGGAGCACAATACCACTTGAAATATGACCAAACTGGAGCACTACTTCACTGGGAGTAACCTACCCCTGGGAGGACCAGAGACATCAGTACATTGGGAGCAATCACCCTGCTGGGGGCATTGCACCAGCATAGTACCATACCACTAGGAGCACCAGCCATCAGAGTCTCATACTACTGGGAGCACCATGCTACCCAAACAGCACACACCGCAGGTCCACACAACTGCAACACTGTAGGACTCAGCACCATGCCCCACAGACCACGCCCCCTGGAACACTAAGCCATCTAAGCACTGAGCCATGTTTTGGGGAATCTGATTTTATGGCAGAGATATTTTTATGTTTCTTGAATATGTTTTAAAGTGTAGTAGTTTTATGAGATTGTACCTCCAAGGCTTTGTAATGCAGGGCATGGTTTTAAAATTGACTAAATAAATAAAATTCTGACACACTTGAGATGGAGAAAAGGTCAGGATGGCTCTGGGCGGGATCAAATGTACAAAGTCCCTAAATGGGTTTGCATCTGCTCCAGAGCCATTGCAGAACAACCTTACAACTGAGAGGACTCAGCTTGTTTGCAGTGACAGCCACCCTGTGCCACCCATCATCCTCGTCGCCTCTTTCTTGAGTAGCATGTATCATGGTAGGGTCCAGCTCCCTGGGCAGAAATGACCACATTTTTCTATAGAAAACCCCGCAGTGAGGAGGGTGAAACAGAAGTTGTTTAAACCACCCCGAAATAATTCAGCTGATACAAACTTGTATTAAAGGCATAATATGAGTGTAATGAACCAGCTAAGAGGCATTTTGGAGACCTGGGGATTACAGATTCGTGCTCTGATGGCTTGGAACAATGGATCAACTTTGAATCAGATGGTACTTCGGTTCCTGTAAAACAAGCCCATGTGGTATTAAAGAGACACACTTTGCTACGGTTCCTTCATACCAAGGGCAGGCTGGGGGCATCGGTGCTCGGCAGGAGACACCATCCCCCATGTCCACCTCTTCACAGTGCTCCAGGAAGATGCATCTGTTGACCTGGAAGACCTAGAAGAACTACTTCCTCCTGTCATACTGGATGTTCCCAGCAGAGTGAGTGAGAAGAGCTCAGAGAAGTCCCACAGCCCAGAGCTTACCTAGCTTAAAAAATAAAGACTGCATTGTTTTCAAACCCATAGAAGCAAAGAACTCATTTGCCCTCCCAAGAAATGTGTGTTTATATAATTTTCAGTATTTATTCTTTCCACCAAATGTTAAATATCACAGTCTAATTGTTCATTATTCTTTGATTCATTTTCTGTAGTATCATTTACCTGAAATCAACCACAATTCAAAAATATGAAATTGGGGAACTAAAACATTTATAAGTTTTAAAGTGTGCACAATCCCAAGTACTTCAACTAAATCTCCCTCCATCCTCCTGCATCTTGGCCAAGATGTGAATTGCCTCTTTGTTCAGAGTATCAATGCTGTATGTGCTACCCTCCTGTTAGCTACTCAGTGGCTGTCTCAATCACCAGATCAATTGTTGTTTAGCATATTCATGCTTAATGTGTTACCCTCCCATTAGCTATCTCAGTTATAAGATAATTTCCCAGACTATCCATGCTGTATACACTACCCTCCCATTAGTCACTCAGTAGCCACTCAGACTGAATTTTGTTCAGTATATCCATGCAGTGTATCTTGCTGTCCCATTAGTCACTCTGGCTCTCTTAGAGATCAGATGGACTATCACTGTTATTACATAATACCCCTATTTATCTCAAACTTATTTTACTTAATAAAGCCTTAATAGTTGAAGCAAGGTAATAGACAAAGAGTACCAGCAATGTAACAAGAACAGGTTAACTCTGGAAAAGCCATGCATGTGTATGTGTGTATATATGTCTATATATACCCACACATACATCCTCAGTCTCAGGAAATAATCAGGGTCCTGAAACATATCCATGAACAAGGGAAACTCCAGTCGTGTGTTCATTTATATATTTTGGTGAAGAAATGTTGTCATATGTGGTTCACATTCTCTGAACTAAGGATCAATACTCAGTGTACCAGGCTTTTTCTTTCAGGCCACCAACCAGCTCCCAGATCATGATATGGAGACTTATTATTAGTTTTGAATGCTCAGCCTAGCTTAGGCTCATTTCTGGCCAGCTCTTTTAACTTAAATTAACCTGTTTCTCTTTATCTGCCTTTTGTCTCAGGGCTTTTTACTTTTCTTTCCTTATGTGTATCTTACTTTCACTGTTTCTTATGTCTGCTGACTGGCAGCTGTCTCTCTGCTCTGCAGCCCTGCCTATCCCTCTCCTGCCTAGCTATTGGCTGTTCAACTCTTTATTAGACCAATCAGGTGCCTTAGGCAGGCAAGGTACAACAAATGCATCTTTACATAGTTAAACAAATGCAGCATAAACAAATGTAACACATCTTTGCCTAGTTAAAATAATATTCCACAACAACTCAGAGGCATGGATTTAACATCATCTTCACTCCAAAGTCTGAGGGTGATGTTCCTAAAAGTTGCTTGAGGCTTACAAGTCACACACATGTCAGCTATGTCAGACCCATCACTGGGGGAAGCTCACCTTTGAACCAAAGCCAGCCTCTTCCACACCCTGCCCTCCCTACTGACTAAATCAGAGCATGCAGTCAATCTCTGCAAGTGAGGCAGGACTCTGTATCTGGAGGCAGTGTGGGAAGGGGTGGTCTCCAGGATGCAGCCTGGGAATCCTTCTTGGGCACTTCCCTCTCTCTCCCCCTGTCCTCAGTGAGGCCTGTGCCATTCCCCTTGTGACTGTCACAGGCTTGGTGGTTTCTTGGACAGAGTCACTTATCAAGCTTAAACTCTAATTACATGTATCTGGGCTGAAAATTGGCCGGGACCGCAGTTTAAACTCCTCCTAATTGTAAGCAATGCTCCTTTCCTGAGCTGCCAGAGCTGTCCTCCTTCTTATCGCCACAGATCAGACATGCTCAATTGCTTCTCCAAGCTCAGGCCCCTCTTCCCTGTGCTTCTGTGGCCATTCCAGGTGTGAGCAAGGTGGTGACTGTGGACGTGAAAGGGAACTGGCAGCGCTGGCTGAAGGTGCGGGACCTCACCAAGGGAGTGACCTACTTCTTCCGAGTCCAGGCACGGACCATCGCCTACGGGCCAGAGCTCCAGGCCAATGTGACTGCGGGGCCAGCCGAGGGTGAGTAGGCCTACACTGGTGACTGCAGCTGAGCACCATAGCTCTCACCTGCTTTGTGGGTTGGCGATTCAGGGACATTCTCAAATGAACATTTTGGGTCCAGCAGCCAGAAAAAGCCTTGGAAGTTTCCAAAACACACTGTAACCCAGGCACGGTGGTGCCCACCTGGAATCCCAGCACTCAGGAGGTGGAGGCATGAGGGCTCAGGAGTTCAAGGCCATCCTCAGCTGCAGAGCTGGGGACAACATGAGCTATAGGAGACCCTGTCTCAAAAATACAAACAAAAACCCAAAGCAAAATACACACGATATGTTCTTCTGCAGGTAGCCTCACTACATACACAGAAACAAGTTTTTAAATGTTAAGCATACAGATTTGTTTTTCTGTATGCTTATGGAAACAAAAAACACCTTAAGAGAAAAATAAATTCATTTTAACTAATTTTTCAAAACTAATTAAAAATAACTTTTAATATATACCATCTTTCCATGCAGCCCAGTGAGTCCCAGGGATCCTCCTTTATCTGCCTCCTCTATGCTGGGATACCAAGCACACAGCCAGCCCCAACTCTTATTTTTTTTTAATTGTGTGCATGTGTTTGCATGTGTGTCATGTGTGCATGCACAGGTGTCTACAAACACAGTGTATGCCTGTAGATGCCAGGAGTTCTTGGTGGGTGTCTTTCTTGATCACTCTTTGACCTATTTTTGGAGAAAAGGTCTCTCAATGAACACTGTGCTCACTAATTGACTAGACCAGGTGGCCAGGGAGCTCCAAGAATGCACCTGTGTCCACCACCACTCTCGTGTGCTGGGACTGAAGAGGCACATGATCATGTTGAGCTTTGACATGGGTGCTGGGGATCCAAACCCAGGGCCTCCTGCTTGTGCCACAGAGACATCACTGACCAGGCCATTTCTCCAGCCTAGCTAACCCCTTTTTCATTAAGTCATTTCTCACGAGTCAACTTCGGAGTTCACTGGAGGGTTTGAAGCTTTCTTCTTTGTGCCAACATACATCGGCATATGTGGGTGTACACAGTGTTCTAAGATTCACTAACATGTCTCTCAAATTCCTGTGTCCTACGCATGCATCATTCAAAACATGCATTTATCTTATCAAGATTGTAAAAACCAGGGGGGAAGGTGAGGGGGATGGGAGGGGGGAGAACAAGGGAATCCGTGGCTGATATGTAGAACTGAATTGTATTGCAAAATTAAAAAAAAAAAAGATAAAAATAAAAAAAAAATTGTAAAAACCAGAGCTAAACGTAAGCACAAAAGAGACAAACACTTTGAGATCTTGCAGGCAGACAATGCTAACTGCTCTCAACATCTTCCCGAATATCTTGTAATTGCTCTTAGTCACAACAGTGATGTAACTGGCCTTTCCAAATCATCCACTCTGGGTCCTACATTCTCAGTGCGCACTGACCTCTTCCTGCTTCATACCAAACCCACGTTGAAATGAGGGAAGGGAACCTGGACCAGAGTCAGACAGGGTGACGTGTGCCTGTATCCCAGCACACGGATGATGGGAAGGTCACAAGGTTAAGGCTAACCTTGGCTGTGTACCAAGACCCTGCCTCAAAACCAGTCTAGGGCTGGAGAGATGGCTCAGTGGTTGAGAGCACTTGCTGCACTTGCAGAGGTCCCAAGTCCATTCCCAGTGCCCATGAGGGTGACTCACAACCATCTGTAACTCTGATCTAAGACAGAGGTTCTCAACCTTCCTGATGCTGCGATCCTTAATACAGTTCCTCATGTTGTAGTGTCCCCAACCATAAAATTACTTCGTTGCTACTTCATAACTGTAATTTTGCTACTGTTATGAATCATAATGTAAATATCTGATATGCAGGATATCTGATATGTGACCCCAAAGGACTCACTGCAAATTTTTTGTTTGTTTGTTTTTTTCTTACTCTTTGCTCTTTGGGGACCCGCTACCCAACTCCCCCCCCCAAAAAAAAAATACATGAAAGCTTATTCTTACTTATGAATGCCCCGCCTTAGCTTGACTTATTTCTAGCCAGCTTTACTTAACTTAAATTATCCCATCTATCTTTTGCCTCTGGGTTCTTACCTTTCTCTATTCTGTATGTCTTTCTTTATTTCTTTCTCCATTGCTGGCTGTGTGGCTGGGTGGCCGGCCCATGGTGTGTTCCTCTCCTTTTCCTTTTCTCCCTCCTCTTCCCTTCTTCTCCTTCTACTTATTCTCTACCTACCAGCCCCGCCTATCCTCTCTCCTGCCTCGCTATTGGCCATTCAGCTTTTTATTTGACCAATCAAGTGTTTTAGACAGGCAAAGTAACACAACTTTGCAGAATTAAACAAATGCAACATAAAAGAATGCAACACATCTTTGCATCATTAAGCAAATGTTCCACAACATAAATGAATGTAACACATCTTAAAATAATATTCTACAACAGGTTGCAACCCACAGGTTGAGAACCACTGATCTAAGGGATCTGATGCCCTCTTCTGTCCTCTGCAGGCACCTACATGCGTGCACACACACACACACACACACACACACACACACACACACACACATACACCATAAATAAATTAAAATGTAAAAATCTTTAATACTTACACAAAGAAACCCTGTCTCTAAAAAGAAAAAAAAAATCTTTAATAGAAATGAATTCAACACCTCTGTCCCAGTGAGGGGCCACTAGTCCCCTCAAGGCCGATGTCTACTCAATCTGCTCTTTTTATCCCACAGGGTCCCCAGGCTCTCCACGAAATGTCCTCGTCACCAAATCTGCCTCTGAGCTGACCCTGCAGTGGACAGAGGGACATGCTGGGAACACTCCCACTACAGGCTATGTCATAGAGGCCAGGCCATCAGGTAGGAGCAGTGGGGTCATGCGCTCCTGCCTGCACACCAGAAGCAGGCGCTGCCCACATGGTGGCATCTCGGTCACATTGAGAGTTGTGGTCCGTAGGGTCTCTGGCTTCCTCTCCCTGCATTTCCCTCACAGGACTGAGGTGGGGGGGTGTGTATGTGTGGAAGCCAAATCTCATTTCTTGTTCCTTCTTAGTGCCTAGTAACCACAGCTGTGCTCTTAACCTCTCGGGCATTCAATTTCTGATGCCTTAGCTGCATGACACTTAGGGAGATGATAATTGTCACTCTCAGAAAAGGGTAGATGAGAGGCGAAGGACACTCGAAGACATTTCAGCTCATCAGGAAGACCGAGAAGTGTTTCAGGGGCTCCTCTCTGGGGTCTAATGCTGGCAGCCCGTGGAATGAGCCTTGCTCGCTTTGGATAATTGCAAATGTCCTTATTAATAGAGGAAATGGCACATCAAGTGCTGTACCTTCCAGGCTCCTGAAAACGAGGGCTAAGGTCCACTCCTGGGCCTGGAAGATGGCTTAGTGAGTAAGAAAGCTTGCTGTACAGGCATGAGGACCTGAGTTCAAATCCCTAGCACATCAGAAGCAAGATATGGCAATGTGTGCATGTGTACCTGTAACACCAGTGCTGTGGGAGGTAGAGACAGGAGGATTGGTGGGACTTGCTGGCTGCTGGCCTCGCTGAAGGCTCAGAAAGAGATCCTGTGTCAAGAGAATAGGGTGAGAGTAACAGAGCAGGGTCCCCGATGTCCTCTGGCCTGGTGTGTGCGTGGGTCTGCAAACAGTCCCACACTCTGTACATACACCACACATGTACACACAGACCCACCCCGCACTACCTCCTTCCTTCTAACTTCTTTATATCTTAGTCACTTTTTAAAAACGTTATTTTATTTTTATGTGATGTGTATGGGTATATTGCCTGTGTGTATGTCTGTAACACATGTGCCTAATGCCTGAGGAGGTGAGAGCATTGGGTCCCCTGGAACTGGAGTTACAGAGGATTGTGAGCCACCATGTATGTGCTGGGAGTTGAACCCAAGTCCTCTGGAAGAGCAGCCAGTGTTCTTACCTCTGAAACCATCTCTCCAGCCTTCTCTTGACCACTTTTAGACAAGTATTAATTGCATGTATTAGTGGGATTCAGTGGAGTTTTTTTTGAGACAGTGTACATGTAGCTCAGGTTAGCCATGAACTCTTTACATAGCCAAGGGTGATCTTCCTGCTCCCTCCTCCTGAGTGCTGGGATCACAGGTATGCATCATTCTGCCCAGTTTTAGGTGGTACTGGAGATGGAACCCAGTGCTTCTGGAATGCCACGTTAGTCCTCTCCCACCTAAGCCACACCCCAGGCTCTAGTGTGGTATTTTCCTGCGAGCCTAGGACTGAATTACCTGACATGAAGAACTTAGGAAAACAGATTTGTCTTGGCTCACATTTCAGAAGGTTCGGACTACGGTCACTTGGCCCCATGCACTTGGCAATACACGGTGGCAGGAGAGTGTGGTGAAGGGGAGCTGTTTACTTCATGGTAGACTGGAAGCAGACAGAGGGCCAGGAAGGGGCGGGAACAAGGGCTCACCTGCAGTGGCCTACTTCCTCTAGCAAGGTCCACCTCTGAACTAACTCCCACAGCTGGTGACCCAGCATTGAGCACACAAGCCTGTGGGAGGCAGTTCATATACCAACCATGACACCACATGGTGTCAGGCAAGGACCACACCCAAACCCAGCAATCCTTCATAACTACCGTTCTGCCTCCAACTCATGTTTCTTTGTGGGTTCCCACATTGGAGGCAGAGTGCAGATACTTGTGTTTCTGTGTCTGGGTTATTTAACTTAATGTGGGGTCTCCCCCAACTCCATACATTTTGCTACAAGCCACAGAACTTGGTTCTTCTTTATGACTAAGTAATACTCCATGGTGTATTTATACCACACTTCCTTTTGCCATTCCTCCATGGACAGACATCTAGGCTGACTCCCCATTTTAGGTAGCAAAGCTATCTCTTGGACATGCTGACCTTGTTTTCTTTGGCTGTATACCCAGCACTGAGATCACAGGATCATCCACAGTTTTGTTTTTTAGGTTTTTGAGGAGACCTCCTCCTGTTCTCCATAGTGACAGACCTAATCGATATTCCCACCTACCGTGTGTGAAAGTTCCATTTGGTTTCGATAATGAAGGGTGGAGGTTATTGGAAAATGAGTTTCTGATGGTTTAAGTTGGGTATTACCACTGGGAGCTGGGCAGGCGCGGAGAGGTGGTGTCACCAAACGTGGAGAATGCTAAGCAGCTTCACCGTGACCTTCAGATGGTTGCACAGCTCCCAAGGAATGCCTGAGCGTGAACACAGGTGAAGCTGCAGGCAAGCTTCAGGAAGTGGCTTCTTTCCCAGTGCCGGAAGGGGCTGTGGTGTTAGGGGCTGTTTGGTCTGGTATTTAAGGAGGCTGTTAGACCAAGAGGGAAGAGCCCCAGCATCACACCCTGTGGCAGGCAGCTCTCCCTTTCCCTTCCATGTTACCGCTGGACGCTTCTAAGTTAGAAGTGCCTTCTGGAAGCATCTAAGGAGAAATAGACTGGGGAAGTGGGCCGGGAGGTTGTATAGTGGGTAGAGCACTGGCTGCACAAGTGTGGGGACCAGAGTTTGAAGCCTTTGAACAGAGGTTCTCAACCTGTGGGCCTTGACCCCTTTGGGGTTCAGACGACCCTTTCAAAGGGGTCACCTAAGACTACCAGAAAATATAGATATTTACATTATGACTCATAACAGTAACAAAATTGTAATTATGAAGGAGCAACAAAATAATTTTACAACTGGGTGTCACCACAACATGAGGAACTGTATTAAAGGGTCTCAGTGTTAGGAAGGTTGGGAACCACTGCATTAGAGCATGCCTAAACGTTGGACACAGCAGAACATCCTGCAACCTGATGCTCCCACAGCAAGCTGGGAGCTGGAGACCGGAAAGCTTGTGAGCCCGCCAGCTGCTGGTGTAGCCTCAGCAAATGAGATCCTGCTTCAGATGCAGGGAGAGATGAAATCCAGCACCTGAGGTCATCTCCTGACCTGCACACATGTGCCACAGCATGCACATGCCCACAGGGCTACCTATGCGTGTTTGCATGGACACACCTATGTGCACACATACACAAAACAAACACCCTTTTAAAGCCTCTTCCTGCATGGAGGGCAGTGGGAAAATTTTGTAAGATATGAAATTGTCAAAGAATAAAACACACAAAAGCAGGGAGGGAAGGAAGAAGAAACAGAGGATAGGAGGGAGGGAGGGAGGGGGGGAGGGAGGAGGGAGGGAGGGAGGAGGGAGGAGGAGGAGGGAGGAGGAGGGAGGGAGGGAGGGAGGGAGGAAGGGAGGGAGGGAGGAGGAGGGAGGGAGGGAGGGAGGAGGAGGAGGGAGGGAGGGAGGGAGGGAGGAAGGAAGGAAGGAAGGAAGGAAGGAAGGAAGGAAGGAAGGAAGGAAGGAAGGAAAGAAAGAAAGAAAATTCTTTGGCTCCAGCTTGCTGGAGTGAGGCCTCTAGCTGATATATGAGGAGCAAGGCGCTGGCCAGCTCTTGAGACAGGTTCTAAAGACAGTGAAGGTTCAGAGGCCTCCTGTGATCATTTTGTCTCCTCCATGGCCCCGAGGACAGCCCACCAGCTGTCCACAGTGACTCTGTGTTCAGAGTGGGCTTTGGCTGCTGTGTTGCCACCAACACTGAAAGACAGTTGCCACTCATGTCCCCTTGTGGATCTCGCTAACTGACCCTGGTGGGCTGCTGGACCAGGGCTTTTCACTGAACACACACACACACACACTCATGCACACGCGCGCGCGCACATACACACACACACACACACACACACACACACACAGCATGATGCCCCATCCCCTCTGCAACACAGGACAGCCACAGCTCACAGCGGCATGCAAGCTTTTATAGATTGTCAATATTTAAACACCTTGCTGGGACCCAGGGGCCTCTGGATCTCAGCTGTCATCTATTTCAGGCCTCATTACACAAACCATTAAACACTATATCTTCTCATTTTCTCCACTGAAGCTCCCTGGCAAGGCCTTCTCCGGGCGGAGCCCTGGTTTAGGCAGAGTTGTGCCCGCCTGGCATCTAGGGGGACAGAGACACTTAGCAGTAGGGGTCCCATGGCCCAAATGGTCTGTTCAGCCTGATGTGTCCCTGCCCAGCCACATCCCTGCCTGGCCTCCTGAAGACAAACCCATCAACACTGTGTCCCCATCTGTCCCCGTCTTCACCCCTGAAGGTTTTGCTGAAGAGCCCATGGCTGCTGCACCCAGCAGTAGCTAATGGCGTAGCATTAGGCTAAATCACAGGATCTCTTATTCCAGAGAGGGTGGTCCCTGAGTGTAGCCTGAGGACATAGCCGTCAAGCTCTACCAGGACCGCCTGACCAGCTGGATCATTTCTCTAAATTGTGAACCAGCCTCCCCTGGAATCCTGTCGCAAAAGGCGCCTGGAAAGCAGCTATGTGGTGGGCAGACTCCAATGATTTATTTACACAAATTATTCCAAGGCATTTTGCTGTGTAGCTCTCGGAGCCTAATTTACATATTTACACAATACACTGGAATGGCACTAAAGGCGCTATAAATATACTTTCCTCTCCAAAGCAGCCATGAAATATATATTTAGGACGCACCCAAGGCAGGCAGACATTGTATTACCGTTTTCACAGATGATCCCTTAGCCTGCAGGAGAGGCTGGGCCTCTCTAGCCTCCCTCCTGTGTGCACCCCAAGTCTTTCCCATGCATGGTGTTCATTGTCAGTTCTTGGCAAGGCGAGTTTGAATTCAACCGGGAAGAAAACCAAATTTCCAAGTGGGCATGGTTGTGCAGAGTTGTCGCATTCCAGAGGATGAGGCAGGAGGATGATGAATTCTAGGCAAGCCCAGGCTATATGGGGAGACCCTGTTTCAAAAATAAACTAGGTACAGAGCTGGAGAGATGGCTCGGT